CTGTGTCTGATCTTCTAGGTGCTGGCCATGACCCTGCAGGTCAGAAATGCCTGTTGGGGTCTGTAGCCCTGCAGCATCAGTGCTCTGGGTGTCCCAGCTGCCCCTGTGACTCAGTGTTGGTTGGTGCTGTTCATGAGCTGCTTTGAGCCATTCCATCAAAACAGGGAATAGGGTCTGGATCCTGCCTGGCCTTTGGAGCAGCTCCTGACACACAGCAATTTACATAAGGCCTGTGATCTGCAATAACCCAGCAAGCTGAAGTCTGGGTAAAAACTGAACAGTGAGGCAAGGCAGAAAAAAAAAGTGACCTCAGTGATCTCTCTCTGTTCTTTGTAACCCAGAGAAATATTTCCTTGGAAGTGGTGACCTGCTTATGGATTTTGGCTTTCCCGAGTAGGTGGCAGTGCTACTTCTCTGAACAGTGGAAAATCTGCAGTGTCCTGCATTCTTTTGGACACTTCCTTAAGGACAGCTGTCCTACCAGTAGTTTGGGACAGAGAGTGTTGAGTGTTGGTTTTAGTTAAAACAAGCTGTAATAAATAACCTATTGCAAAACCAAAGATCACAGCCCTTTTCTGTCATGTTGAGATCATAAACTTGCAGTGAAATGACTGAGCTCCCGCTGTGTGCTGGTTGGTTGGAGGGTTGGGGGTTGGTTTGGGGTTTTTTTCTCAAGGATTGAGAGAGCCTGGCATGAAATATACTTGGGGATTTGAATGAAAGGCTCTTAAGCTGGGTTTGGAGTCAAGGAGTTTGTCAGATCCATCTGGGCAGGGTCTTACTTAGACCATGCAGTGCCACCTTTACACCAGCACCCAAAATTAATTCAGATTTATTTTTTAAAACTGGCAAGAGGTGAAGGAAATTGAAGAACAACAGCTTCCATTTAGTTACTGTGGAACAAAGTAACTAAACTAAATAGTAACTAAACTAATAAACTAAACTAAAGTTTATTTGGATCAGGACCATTAGAGGGTCACAGAGCTGGCAGCAATTTCCATATATGAAAGTTAGGGGAGGGTTTCACTTTCCTACTTTATCATAAACAGGGTCAAAAAAAAGGATGGATGGAGCTCAGATTTTGGTCCTGTGCTTCGTGACTCTGAGCCTGGTTATTTGTATGGTAAAACTACTGCCAAACTGAGGAAGAGCAGAAAATTGAGCATTTTGGTTCCAGTCCTTTTTTGTAGCCAGGATCACAGGAGGCCTGGGCAGCCTGTGCCACCTGCACCTTGCAGCTGCTCTGTGCTGGGGCTGGACACTGGCCTGGTTTGCTGTCTTGGAAAAGTCAGTTTTGGTTTTGGGGAATCCCTGTTGAAGGCTGGGGAAACATCTGCTGCTGGGAAAACAAACCCCGATGGATTAACAAGGTAATGAAAGGGAGTTTGGGGCATGGCTCTGGGCTGGGAAGGGCAGCACTTGAGGCCCCAGGATGTGCTGCCTCTGCTGAGATAGGGCTTTGACAGAGGAGTGGAGGTAACACTGTAAAAGCTGAGCTTGTAGACACCTTCTGTGGATTTGTGTTGGCTCCAGAGCCCTCCCAGGAAACTCCTCCCCTGCCTAAGGTGGCTGATGAGTGTCCTTCACATACAGGACATGGAGGAGTGTGGCTGCCCCATCCCTGGAAGTGTCCAAGGCCAGGCTGGACAGGGCTTGGAGCAAGCTGGGACAGTGGAAAGTGTGGGCAGGTGTTGCCCTGATTTTTTAATACTTTCTAAACCTTCTGATGTTTACATTCTTGTAGCAAACTTTCTCATACACTTTCTGTAAATAACTTATTGTTTTGCATTCTTTTATGGAACAAGAGAAATTTGATAGACTGTTGGTTTGTCCAGTGTCATTGGAGAAGTTGCACTGTCACCCTCCAATCCAGTCACTTTTAGAAAATTATAAATGTTGGAGTCAGAAAATAAACTTCCCTCTGTCTTGAGAGCAGCAGTGTGTGCTTGTGTTGTTTTGTGTCCTATAGCGACAGGCAGGGGTGGGACTGGATGAGATTTACAGAATTCCCAGAATGCCCAGGTTGGAAGAGACCTGCAAGATCATTGAGTCCAACCCAGCTCCAAGCCCTCAACTCAACCCTGGCACCCAGTGCCACATCCAGGCTTTGTTAAACACCCCCAGGGATGGGGACTCCACCACCTCCCTGGGCAGCCATTCCAGAACTTTCTCACTCTTTCCATGAAAAACTTTTTCCCAATCTCCAGCCTGTATTTCCCCTGGTGCAGCTGAGGCTGTGTGCTCTGGTTGTGTCAGTGCTGCTGGAGACAGAGCCCAGCCCCAGCTGAGCACAGGCACCTTTCAGGAGCTGTGAGAGTGATGAGGGCAGCCCTGAGTCTCCTTTTCTCCAGGCTGAGCACCCCCAGCTCCCTCAGGGCTTCCTCACTCACAGGGTTTGTGTTCCCAGCCCCTCTCCAGCCTCATTGCTCCTCTGGACACACTTGAGCATCTCAATGTCCTTCCCAAACTGATTTAAGGTCCCTTCCAAGCCATACCAGTTTGTGATTTATGTTTGATCTTGTCTTAGCTACTTCTCTAGGGGACAAAGGCAAAGATCTCACACCAAGAGAGGCTGGACTAAGGTGAGCAGAGCTACACAAATCCTGGGACCCAGCAGCTGCAGGAGAAGCAGAAGCAGCTGGGGCTGCAGGGGCAGGAGCTCGGACACTGCCCTGGCCAGCAGGAGCCTGAGCATCAACACAGTTCTGTTGGCAACAATACACTTCCTTTGCCAGGATTACAGGATTCCTTCAGGGAGATTTCCCTCACTGCTGGGGGTTCACAAGATCCACGAGTGCTCCTTATCAGTGGTGCTACCCTGTGGAATGCTGGCATGTGGGAAGCTCCTTCATGATTCCAGGTCATGTTAGGACAGCTTGCTGGTGCCTTAAACCTTTGACTGACTGGGGGAGAGGGGGGCTTGGATCTGAAATGCACCTCCTTAAATGATGAGTTTTGCCAGTGACATCAGTAAGACCAGGCAAGAGAGGCATTTATGTGTGCAGAATTGTTCGGGAAGCTGAGGGCTGAAGGAAGAAGTGGATAAATTAAATCAAACTTATTTGATCCATATCCCACTTCTGGAAGCACACTAACATGCTGAGAAGCTCCAGAGCTCCTAGGAAATGGAGTTTTTTCTCCCTTTCCAGGTGTCTGAATAATATTCTGTGGAATTATGGCCCCAGTCCTGCAATGAGGTCTGCATGGATAAAACCAGGGGCCACATCACTAAATTGGAAAGACTTTCACATTCCTCTCATGGAAAAGAGGTTCACACTTTATAGCAACAGTAACAAGTCCCTTTGCTGAGGATGAAGTCTGTAAGGATCATCACTTGCCAGGTCTGATTCAACATTCCTGCTTTACCTTCAGTATTCTCTGATTAACAGGACCTATATCAGAGATTAATATCTCTACTTGTATCTTAATTATGAAAGTGAATCTGAAGAGTTTATACTTCCTCACCAGCGTGTGCTTGTTTAACTACTGCTTGGTCAAGGAAAATCCATTATATTGGCCATGAAAGTGTTTTCTTTCTTGGGTAAACTCAAAAAGGAAACAAGAATATCTTCAATTCTTGCTAAACATATATTTGTTTAAATTGGTGACACAATAATCGGAGCAGTTCTTTCAAAACTGCATCTTTCATGTATTTTTTTTTTACCAAGGTTATACTTAATCCTTTAATATTTTGTGTTCCCTCCTGTTTTGTGCCAATTCACTGTAACAACGAGACACTGCTCCAAATGATACAGCTCCTGTTGTGGCATGCAGTGAGGAGGGATATTGGACCTGGTGAAACACTGATGCTCTGTTTGCAGTTGTTTTTGATTCATTTACCAGCTCCAGAAATAGCTGCCCTATTTGTAGTTGTGCTGCAGGCATTAATATATTCAGCACAGCCATGGCTGTGAATGCAGCAGGGAGAACAAGGGGCTCGTTAGTGGCGAGATGATTGGGGTAGATGTGGGAATCACAAATCTTGGAGTATCCGTGAGAGAGTAGTTTATGTCCAGGTTTGTTGGCTGGAATCTGTGGCCTGAGCTGTTGTGGCTTCATCCCCACACAATCCTTCCTTGTCCTGCGCCCTTCTCACAACAGCCACATTTGCTGCCCAAAGCTGGCAGTGGCACTTGGAAGGTGTTTGAGCCAGAAGATGCCACTGCAGGCCAGAGTCACGGACACCTCTGTCCTTTGGGGACCTCTGGAAATCCCAGCCCAGGGGTACTTCTGCTGCCTTAAGCAGGGCCCTCAGGTGCTCTGCTCCATCAGAACTGGAAAAAATGCTCGTGTTTGGGGCCACCTCTGAATAAACCATTATGTCCCATTGGGAAATGGGGATGCTCTGCCACGGTGTTCCTATGGCACAGCCGTCCTTGTGTCACCAGCTGCTCTCTGCCATGTTGGGGCTTATAAAAAAGAGAGGGGCAGATAGTAATAGGACAAGAGGGAATGGTTTTAGACTAAAAGAGGTGAGATTCAGATTGGATTTGGGGAGGAATTCTTCCCTGTGAGGATGGCGAGGCTTTGCACAGGGTGCCCAGAGAAGGTGCGGCTGTCCCATCCTTGGGAGTGTCCAAGGCCGGGTGGGACAGGGCTTGGAGCAGCCTGGGACAGTGGAAGGTGTCCGTGCCCATGGCAGGGGTGGCACTGGCTGGGCTGTACGGCCCAAACCCGGCGGTGGCTCCGTGCTGTCCATAGCCCCGGGGGTGGCTCGGTGTTCTCCGTGCCCCGGGGGTGGCTCGGTGCTGTCCGTAGCCCCGGGGGTGGCTCGGTGCTGTCCGTAGCCCCGGGGGTGGCTCGGTGCTGTCCGTGCCCCGGGGGTGGCTCGGTGCTGTCCGTAGCCCCGGGGGTGGCTCGGTGCTGTCCGTGCCCCGGGGTTGCTGCGGGGCCCGTCCGGGGCGAGCTCCGGGGTCGCGGGGGTGGGTGGGGCCCAGGCCGAGCAGCCCCGCCCCATATGGGCGGTACCCGGTGACGTCACCGCCGCTCCGCCGCAGCCCCAGCGCAGACGGAGCCGCCCGGTCCCGGTGCCGTCCCGGTCCCGCCGCGATGCCCTCGGACCGGCCCTTCAAGCAGCGCCGCACCTTCGGTGAGCCGGAACCGGCCGGGAGCGGCCGCGCGGGAGAGAGGGGAGGGAGGACGGACGGACGGACGTGGAGACGTGCCCTGCGCCGCCCCCGCCGTGCTGCCCTGCGGGGCGGCCCCGCCCGGGCCGGGGCTCGGCCCCGCGGGTCCCGCCGGGCACGGCCGCGGGAGCAGCGGGGCCCGGGCCGGGGGCGGCGGTGCCGCAGCCGCCGCGCGGTGATGTCATTGTCATCCCGGCCGGGCCCGCTCCGGGGGGGCCGCGCCGCGCCCGGGCCATCCCCGCCGTGTCCCCGCTGCTCCCGGGCACCGCCGTCACTGGGGCGCGGTGGCGGCCGCAAGGGGCCGTGGAATGCCTGGGACGAGGGTGGTGGCCGGGGGTCCCTTTTGGCTGTCAGAACACAAAGACCTCCCCAAAAATCGCCTCCCGCGCTCCCATCCCGGCAGCCTCGGGGCAGTTGTTGTTGCAGGATGCCGCACGCCCTCTGTGATGGTTGTGGAGGCTCAGTGCTCACATCCTCCCCACCCCTTTGTCAGAGGTGCGTGCTGGGGACGCTCAAAAGGTGAGGAGGTGACTGTAGAAAGTGCCAGATTTTTATCTCCAGACCCGATAGCGGAATCCGAGGAAACACCGACTGCTGTTTCCCTTGACCTTTGCCAGCTGGCGCAGGGAGAGGTGTGTGTTTCTGGCAGGTTAAATTCCTGGGGAAGGGGTAGCATTTGAGCTTTACTCGCTGTATAATGCTGAAATCAGTATTTTCATGCCATAAAAAAACCCTCATATTATGCCAGAGACTGTCCGAACACAGGTGAGGGCGTTTCCTACATGAGTTTTAAAATTGGAGCTTTTGCCTGCTGAAAACTGCTGATCCAGGCCCTAGCTGCTCTCTTGGAAACTGTAAATATTTGGTATTTTATTGGCACAACCCTTCTGGCCTTGAATGCTTACCCAGCCCTCCCCTGCCACAGGACCAAGCCAAGGGAACACGCACAAACAAGAACCAGCCGAAGCCTGGGAGCTTGGGATCCTTGCTGGAACCCTGCTGTGTTCTCCTAAGCAATGTCTTAAAACCAGCAAAGTCCTAAATCAGCCCTTTAGTAACTACCTACTGTTAAACTGGTGAGAATCAGCTTATTATGGTTAAGAGGAGACTGGTTTGCCTTTGTGGATTGCTCAGACTTTCTTTGAGCCAGAAGGAAAACAAAATCTGAGGCTCAGAGCAGTTGAAAGAAAGCAGGATTAAAATAGCCCAGGAGGGACAGAGGGGGTGAGGGAGTTTGGTGCCGGCGACTGCAAGTGCTCCTTGTTTCTCTGTACTTTCCTCTGCCCTTTTGCTCTCTCAGCTGACTGGGCTGCAGAGCTGAGCCAGGAGGAGGAGGAGGCCTGGCAGCCCCCGCAGCTGCTTTGGGTCAGGGCTGGAATTACTCTGTTGGAGAAAGTAAATACGGCTTGTTTTTGTCTTTGAATCATTACACAACAGGAGCAGGAAGCGATTGTTTACAATGCAGTTGGAGAGGGCTGGTGGAAAACATCTCCAGCGATTCTGTACCCTCAGAATGGCTTGATTTTTAAGGCTTCAAAACTTTACAGAAATGGAACAGTTCCAAAAAAGCAGTGAAAAGGCAGAGTCAGGGCTATGGCTGTTTACAAAAGGCACCCAGGCTCCAGTTTCATGGCAAGTGGCTGCCTTAGGTCTTGGGCTGCTGCTCCTCAGTGAAGATGATTCTGCTTTCCTCAGTGCTTGTGTTCCCCCTTCTTGTATTTTTGGAATTTTTCTGTGAATTCCTTATGTTTGTTCATCTGCTTGGTCTTGGGTCTCTCCTGAGTAAACTTTCCTGATTTCTCTTCATCACTGTGAGGACTTGAGAAGGGGACTGGCTGGGAAACAGCAGGGGTTTGACCTGAGGTGTGTGGAGGGCACGGGGCAGTGACTCTGCCGTGGCCTCAGCTGCAGTCCCTGGGGGCAGGTGAGCTCTGTGGGCTGCCCTTGGCAGCAGAACCTCCTTGCTGTGGGTGCAGGGGGTAAATGTGGCAGCACCCTCTGCATCCATGTGCTGAACCCAGAGGCTGAGGCGTGTTCAGATCTGTTACAGGAGTCCAAAACAGTTCCCAGAACAAAGCTGTGGTCTGTGTCAGAGGAACAGGCTGTCCTGGCAGTGCCGAGAGCGTGCAGCAGCCTGACGACACCGTTGCACTTCCCGAAAGGAACACGAGTCCTTGGGAGCATTGTCCCACTGCTCCTGAGCTGGGTTTGCATTGGGCTGGCAGCAGCTGCCAGCTGTGTCTTCAGTGCAGCACAAAACCAGCGTGGTGATGGACACAGGCCTGGATCCCAGACCAGCCGGGTGACCCAGAGCACCTCGGTCCCGTGTCCCCGTGTCTGGCAGGAACAGAGGCAGGAACACACCCACGTGTGTCTGCTGGCTCAGCTGGAGCCCCTGCCTTGGGACAAACACAGAGGTTTGACCTCAGCCTCTGTGGACAGAGTGTTCCCATCCCAGGTTCCATCCTCTGGGAGATCTGCCCTTGGTTCTGGGGAGCCACTCATCTTCAGAGGAAAGGCAGGGGTGGGTGTGGAGCAAATCCCCTCTTGGCTCTGGGGAACGGCGTCCCTGGGGACTCACCCGGTGCCTGTACCCACTGAGAGACCAGCAGGGCCTGAATTGTCTGCCTCACACCCCATCCTGAGCTTATCACAACAGTTCTGCTCGTTGGCTTGGAAAAACATCTGGATATTGATGTGAGGTTGGGTCTGTGAGCCCTCCCTGGCCCTTGGGTGTCTGTGCTCTGGCAGTTGTGCTTTGAGAGCTGGGATTCCTTGAGAGGAGGATGCTGCTCCAAGCTGCTGCTTAGCTGCCTGTGTCTTGGATTAATTACTGAGGACATTCTGTGACTTGACTGGATGTGGGGGTCATTATCAGCGTTGGAGAACTGAACAGGCTTCCTGAACAAAAGCCAAACTGACATGTAGACCACAAATTTTGATTTTTTTATTATTATTCTTTTATATAACACAAGTTCCTGACTGGCAGCCAGGAATAATAAAACCTGTGTGTTTTGTTCATTACTTGATTTTTTTTTTTCACTATAAAAACTTCAGATCTGCCTTTGAACCAGAAGGGTGGAGACTGGTGAATGCAGGGGCTGTCAGGGTGGTAGGCCCTTGCCACCTCTGCCATGGAGTAGCCATGAGCCATGGATAAGTCATGTCCCTTGGCTTTGGTGTTCCTTCTGTGGTCAGTCCCAGCAGGGATCACAGCCAGGAGAGTCACTTGGGAGGTCTCACAGTGTGTCACCTGCTCGGGTGACATTCTGTGGCTGACTGGCAGTGTGTAAACACCAACAGCTCTGTCATGCTGTTGTTTGCTGCCTTTTGTCCTCAGAAGGTGCTTTAAGGCTGTGAGAGAAAATGCAGGAATGAATTCAAGGCTGGTGTCTGGCATGTGTCCCCAGAGCAGCTGTGCATGTCCGGGCCTGTCTGTGCACACACAGCAGTGAACTGTGCTGGGCAGAGGCTCCTGGTGCCTGCAGGTGCACAGGGGCTGCACCAAAATACCATCCTGCCAGCAGTGCCAATGCTTTCTTTGAGCAGTTTGAAGTAGCCTGAGTAGTCCTGAGAAATCTGAGAGTGTTCCTGCTGTCATGGAGATGGATGGGGATGGATGGGAAGGTGGAAGGTCACACAGCAGGCAGAGGGAAACCCTGGCACAGCCTCCCCAGGGTACAGAGGGAACTTGCTGTTCCTTTACCAAGGATAGTGAACCTGTGATTAAATGTTGAGCAAAAAAGCAGTTCCTTATCTGAAACTGTGATGTAAATCCTCTGTTTGCCGTCCTGACATGACACAGAAGGTGCTGCCCATTTCCCCCTCATGTCCAGAGGGTGCTGTGAGTTTTAAGCTCTTTGGATGACTGGAGGTCCAGTGCTCATCATACACAGCCCAGGCAGGGGTGGATCACAGAATCCCAGAATGGTTTTGTTTGGAAGGGGCTTTAAAGTCCATCCCATTCCACCCCTGCCATGGCAGGGACACCTCCCACTGTCCCAGGCTGCTCCAAGCCCCATCCAGCCTGGCCTGGGGCACTGCCAGGGATCCAGGGGCAGCCACAGCTGCTCTGGGCACCCTGTGCCAGGGCCCCAACACCCTCACAGGGATTCCTTCCCAATATCGCATCTAACCCTGCTCTCTGTCAGTTTAATGCCATTCTGCCTTGTGCTGTCACTCCAGTGGTGCTGTACAACCAGAGGACAAGTGTCTTGACATGTATTTAGAGTTCACAGTTGTGGTGTGGCTCTGCTTGATCACGAGCTGAGCCCTTATCATGATTTTCCAGATGCAAATGCTCATTCCTGGAGCCAGGCTCAAAATCATACTCTTGTTACACTTTTAAACTGCTAAGAAAAATGAAGGTGTTTCCTCTTTGTGTCTTAAAATCCATTTTCAAGCTCTGTTCTGGAGCCAGGAAGATTGGGAATTTTTGCAAGTGAATAAGGCTGCTGAGATGCTTCTGCAGTGACAGGGCCCCAAGAACCTGGCACTCCAAAATCCTCCCAGACACTGCACATCTGGTATTGGAACTGTAGTGATGGGATGGAGAGTCATGAAGACAGAGCATCCACTGCTCCATGTTTATGCTGGTAGTAAGGTCCAGGGATAGTGGAGCTTCAGGCTCCACCTATTCTGTGATGCAGAGATATGTTTTTATCAGGTTAAAGCTTTTAGGTTCAGGGCAGTGTAAGTTTGGTCCTGAGTCATTTCCTCTGTGTGGAGCACCCAGCTTTCCAGACAGACAAATAAAATAAAGCTGACAGTCAGAATCACTGTCAGGTCTGCAGTGCTGCTGTCCTGTGTAGCCTGGGACAAGCACCCTCTGGGGTGCTGAGGACACCTGCCCTGGGCACAGCCTCCTTCCTTCCTGGGTGTGGGGATCTCCTCTCACTGCTCCTGCAGCACCACTGGCCTGAGAAGGAGCACTGGGCAAGGACAGGTCAGGTCAGCTGCTGGGTGAGCCATACACACTCACAATTTGGGTGTTTCCTGGTGGTTAGAGGTGTCTGGCCTTAGGGTGGTGTGATATTACAGAAATAGTCATTGATGTTCATCTGGAATGACCTGCATAACTGGCCTGTGTCTCCAGCACTTGCCAGCTCATCCCACACATATCCTGATTTCAAACCATCCAATTCCTCCTCTCCTGGCAGAAAATCTCTTGGGAGAGAAGTCCATGCTCTAGCAGCACTCTGTCCTGGGACTGACCACAGCAGCTTCTTGAAGAAACATGTTCATTTTTGCATCTGCCTCAAATCTTAGGCAGATCCCTCTCTGGGCTGGCTGGCAGGGTGTTGTGTGGATGGCAGGGAGAAGCCACAGGGCCAGCAGCCTGCTGGAGGTGCCAGGGATGTCTGTACACTCTGGAGCTGTGGGACACAGGGAGAGAGGCAGCAGCTCCTGGCTGCATTTCTGGTCTCTGTTCTCTGCACACAGCCCTGCCCAGCTCAGGAGCTGTTGATCTGCACACTGATGACATTTCCAGGTGGTATTTGCTCTTACTGGTGTTTTCCTGACAGCATTCCTGCTGGTCACAGGCAGCAGGGCCTCTCCCTGTCATCCATCTGCTGCCTTGTGGCAGCACCAGTCTAGAATCTCCTGGAAAATGGTGCCCCTTATGCAACAGCGCTGTTGGAGGACGTGCCATGTGTTTTCCTTCTGTCCCACCATCTGTATCTTTTGTCTGCTGGGGTTCTTTTGCATCCAGGACTGTCCTTTCATCCCGTGCCTGCACAGCACCCAGCACAGCAGGGACCTGGCTCCCATGGCCAGGGCTCCTGGGCACAGCTGATAATAAAGGTTAATGTTTGCAAAGTGTGCCTCAAAATTTTCCACTGTTCTCCTCAAGTGCCATAATGATCTCATCCTGCATTGCCATGGGATACACTGTGTGCTCGCATCTTCTGGAGCACAGCTTGGGAAGGACCTCAGTCAAGAAAACAGCCAAGATTCTGGTGTTTTGGGCAATTTGCAAGCTTTGCTGTTGGTACTTAACAGTTGAAACAGCACTTGGAGGAGAAATAGGCAATTTCCCGGCATATGCAATGCTACAAAAATACTCCTGGCTTTCAATAGGCCCCAGCAGAGAAGTTTCCCTGGGAAAAACCAATAAAATTGTGTGGGTTTTATCGTGCTGCCACCTTGAGATCTGCCATCCTGGCACTGGGGAGAAGGCTGGCTTCCCTCATGGCAGAGATGTGGTGCCCACAGCTGGAGCAGGGATGGATGGGGCTGTTCCCTCTCGTGCAGGTCAGTGGGAGCAGCAGGAGCCTGGAGCCCCTGAGCTGCTGCCCTCAGGGCTGATGCTCTCCTGCCCTCAGGGCTGGTGTCCTGCTGCCCTGGCAGCCAGGAGGGACCAGAGGAGGAGAACATGGATGGGGACAGGGCTGTGTAAACAGCTCTGGTTTGCTCTGCACATTGGCTAAGGATTAACTGTGGCCAGGTGCTGCAGGGATGGGGAAAGTCTCAACTTCAGGACAGTTTGGGAGAGCTGCAGGAGGAGAACAAAGCTTGTAAGATCAGGTCTGTTGTATGTGAATGTGAGAGTGCAAACACTGCAGGTGCTGGGGTGGGGGGATCCTGCTTGTCCTCAGCACCGTGGGGGCTCCAGTGCTGGGCTGGCACCTCCAGCCAGGTTTCTCTGCAATGCCCTTTAACCATTTTCTCTGTATTCCTGTGACTTAGATTACACTGCACAGACACTGAATTAAGGCTGGTATGTATAGCTGCTCCTGCTGTGTGATGTTGATGCTTCCATGAGTCACAGGCTCAACCTCTGGCTCCCACCCCAGGCTGAGGAGGGTGTGGGTGACCATCACTGTCTCCTGCTGGAGATCCCTCGTGCCTGAACTCCTGTGTGCAAAGGAATCACCCAGGGATTGATGCAGCTATTCCTGACTGCCAAGCCTGCTTCCTTGGCTCTCCTAGGCTAGGATGGGACAGAGTGTGCTCTTTAGGAGTGCTTCAGGTGGCCTGGACACTTCTGCCTGTAGATTCAGGAACATGAGCACCTTAGGTGGGATTGCTCCCAACTGCCTTCCCGAATGGAGTTTTTGAAGTGAGCAGTTGCAGAGGAAGAAGTGCAGTGCTTGAGGTGTTTGTAGTTGCAATCCATGGACCTGCTGGAGGGATCCAGCAGCCCCTGGAGTAAAGCAGCACCTGCTGCCATTGCCCTGTGTCACCACAGGCTCCCCTGAGGTCAGGAAGGCTGCGAATGCCCTGGGCCTGCTGGCGAAAGGGAGCAGGTCCTGGGCATGTGGCAGGTTTTAAAGGGTGGGACAGGGGAGCTTCCAGTGTGGCCCAGCAGACTTGAGGGTAGCTGAGAGCTCTGTCACTGGTGTCTTGTGCCCTTATTCCTCCTGAGCACGGAGTCAGCAAGACCTGGAAGGATCTTTCTGCAGCAGCCACCCTCTGCCCAGGGCACCCCATCTGCTCCCCATGGGGGACAGAGGACTCTGGTCCCAGGGGTGGGATCCTGAGGCACTGATGTGCAGCTGGAGCGATGATGGACCCTCTTCCTCTCTGTGTGGCATCTTTGTCAGTGTCATGGGCAGGAGGCACCTCTGTTCTCACTGTGTAAATGGAGGTGGAGATGGAGATGGCTTCTGTCATCTTGTGCTGTAGCTGGTGATGCTTCCAGGGAGCAGGGAGGGATGTCTGGCATGTGGCTGCCTTTGGCACATGCAGCCCGGGCTAGCTGGATGCTCCAAGATTACCTTCATTTACTAGCCATGATAACATGCCTTCAGCACATTCCTTCTCTGACCCTTCTCACAATTACCTCCATTGTTGGGGCTTCTGTGCACACAGTCCTGTGACCTTGCAGGGCAGCACGTGGTGTTTAGGAAGCTCATGCACATGATAGCATGGAGAGAAGCAGGCTAGGGTGACACTGAAGCCAGGATGACTGGCCAGATGTGAGGACACAGCTCTGCAGGCTCTGTTAACACCCACAAGTCTGAGCTGGCTGCAGTTAAGCTGCTGCAATTTCACGGTGATTGGTGTTGTGCAGTTGAGCTCTGGATCTCTGGATCTGCAGCCTTTTGGATGCTCCATCCTGGACACAAGGGAGCATGTGGGAATGGGCTCTGTGGGAGGGGGCAGCTGGGGGCTGGGTGCTGCTGGCACCTCTGTACCAGTGTCACGGGTGCTGCTGATGTCTCAGTCACTCCCCGGCTGGTTGGTACCTCAGGGGAAAACTGGCTGTATCACAAGGATGACTCTGGATCCCTGGAGCACTGGATTGGATGAAAAGGAAACATGAGAAGCTGCATCTTCAGTCATAAAACCCAAAATAAATATGCCTGAATTTTTCATGAAATCCAAATAATCTTGCTTTGTGTTGCTTGCCCATGGAGTCCTACAGAATAAAAGATCTAACAGTTCCTAGCAGAGTGATATTTTCCTCTCAGAGGAGGCAGAAATGGTGCTCAAAACTTTCTATGATCTGGTGATTTTGTAGTCTTGTGGTTTTTAAAGAAACTCCAGTTTCTTCCCAAAGTCATATCTAGCCAAATTCAACATATAAGCAATAAAGTTTTATTGAGTGCTCAGAGGAGAAATTATCAATGTTTCTGAGGAGAAAACACTCATGCATTTATCCAGCCCTCCATTCTCCCAGTGGGCCATGGGGAGCTGAGGCTGTGTGAGCTGCTGAGGGGAGCTGGGCTGGGGCTGGGGTTGTGCTGGGTGTGGCAGGACGGTCCTGTATAGACCCTGCAATACCCAGACCTCCTTTCTAGGCAGTGCTTAGTCACTGACCTTCACCCCTGGCTTGGTTTCTGGGCATTTCAGGTGCAGGCTGTGGAGCACCTCCCAGAGCAGTGGCAGTTCCAGGAGCAGGGCAGCTCTGTGGTGTCCAGGAAGAGCATGCACAGAGGGAGCAGCACACCTGGCACTGCTTCTCCTCTGCTTTCTGCTGCTCTGGGTTGTGGAAAGAGGAGAGCCCTCTGGTAAAGTAGTGAGGGGTATGGGAATTCTCCTGTAAACTAGAAGAGTGCACAAGCTTTGCTGCCTGTTGTGTGTGTCAATAAACTCTGGAGGAAAATGGAATAGAAATAGAAAGCGCGAGAACAACTGCAGGAAAAGTCTTTCTGCATGTGGGTCATCTCCTTGCTTAAGGTTTTCTTCCTGCCTCCAGGCCTGGAAATGTCAGGCCAAGAGCTGTTGTAGCTGCTCCACAGATCTGTGCTAGGGCAGGAGTCCTCCTTGGTGAGGTGCAGCTCTTGTGGAGCCAGGCTCTGTGCCAGAGAGTGCTTGGGAGTGAGCAACAGGCAGGAGGAAATGGCTGGAACTCAGCCCCAGCTGGAAACTGTCCCCCTGGGAGAGGCATCCAGGAGACACAAGGAGCACAGCCCCCAGAGCTGTGCTGCTGCCCTGCACCCACTGCCAGCAGCTGCATGTGCTTAGGGTGGATTTAAGTTAATTTTGTTAGCTTTATGGTGTCCTTTCACTCTCCTGATTCCAGGTGTGCTGCCCAGTTTTAGCAGGCAGTGTCCCAGCCCGGGGGTGGCTGGGGCAGTAGGAGCTCATGAAGGGTTGGTCACTGGAGCTGACACCTGGCACACCTTGCTCAAAAGGGCTGGGGAGCAGAATGTGCATTCCTTGGGAAATGTCCCTCTCTGGGTCAGGCTGTGGCTTGCAGAGTGGGTCCCTCAGTTCTGCCTGCCCTACCCCACAGGTGTTTCTAACTTGATTTCTTCACTTCTCTCCCTCCAGCGGATCGTTGTAAAGAAGTGCAGCAGATCCGAGAGCAGCATCCAAACAAGATCCCAGTAAGTGAATTGTTCTCACTTTTCTTGTCAGGCTTTGTTCTCAGGACCCCTCTGTGCTCCTGGGTGGCCTCCATGGAGCTTGCAAAGCTTTGCTGCCTGGAATCGACACAGGATGGTCCCCATGAGCCTCCAGTGTGTGCCAGCTGCCCAGCAGCAGAGGTGTTCTCTGCAGTGCAAAGCACAGCTCTAAAGCTCCATGCTGCCCTGGAGACAGGGGACTGATTTCATCTCAAATCTATTTCCAGGCGAGTGCAGTAGGAGAAGACTCTGAAATGGCTTTTGTTTTGGCTGTAGTAGCTACCTGATTTTTCCTGGACAGCCTGGTAAGGATTTCTCTGCCCAGAGAAAGATGTGTGGGCTGATCTTCACTGCTCTGAAAGCACAGAGTCTCTTTTAGGATCATTCAGACCCATTCTGTGCTGTCCCAGCACCTGTAGTTGACAGGCACAGGTGAGACACCATGAGCTTGCAGTTCTTCCTGCCCATGTCACACCTGAAATGCTGAGTTGTTCTTTGGCTGTGAGTCTGCTTTTGCGTTCCTACCTGAGTATTTGCTTCTCCTGAGAAGATGGAGAACTTAGAGGAACATCCTGTTCCTAGAAGTGTCCAACACCAGGTTGGACAGGGCTTGGAGCAGCCTGGTCTAGTTGCAGGTGTCCCTGCTCACCTTTAAGGTCCCTTCCAACCCAAACCATTTCATGATTCAATGAAATTATGTACTTGGGGCTTGCTCAGCTAACTATTTGCTATATCACAGCATCTATGACCAAAAAGACAGGATTCCTTGTTCAGCTCCCTCTCACTGTTGGATGAACATCAACCTTGTCTTAAAATTGTAGACTATCAGCATTTGGCCTTCAAGACTCAATGTCTCAAACTGCTCTTGGCCCATCTTAGTCCACTTCTGCCTCACTCTTGTTTTGTTTTTAGCACAGTGTTTTCTAGCCAGAAGAATTCTTTCTTCTCCTCTCCTCCCACCAGCACTGTGGTGTTCATGTGATGTTCACGTGTTTCCAGCTCAGCAGGGCAGGGCTGCCCCTCACAGCACCCTGGGCCAGTGCTCCAGGTCATCAACACATTGATTGACCTCTGCTTTTAACGTGGTTTTGATGGCATTAGACTGGCTCTGCATTTCTCCAGAGCTGTGACAGAGCTAACTGCAGTGCATTCAGGCTCTGGCTGTAAGGCCAGGCTAGAAATAAGTTGTACATAAAAAGCACACATGTGCATGTATCAGGTGCCTGCATACAAATGTGTTTGCTTGGGGAATGGACAGAAGGAGCCAGAGCTGTGCATCCACTGGCAGAGTTCTGTGGCATCACTGAGACATGGTGGGAGAGCTCCCATGCCTGGAGGGCTCTTTGTGTTGGAGTCAACACCACAGGTTTTGCAAGTTTTGCTGGAGGGGTAAAAAGAATCAGGTGGTGAGAAGGGTCATGAAGGCTTGTGGGGCCCAGCTGTGTTTTGTCACTGCTGTCTCTAAAGGTCTGGTCCCTGTTAGAGCCCAACACCAGCTTGGTGCTGTGTCTTCTCTCCCAGGGCAGGTTTCAGGGCAGGGATCAGAGCCTGGTGCAGCAGGGTGCTGTGGGCACTGCCATGGTCCAAGCACTGCAGGCTCATGGGCTGTAGGAGGGTCTTGGTCATCTGTGCAAGACAGGAGCTGTGTTTTCCCAGGGATTGGCTTCCCTGGAGAGGCACTTGGAATCAGCAGAGGGGTTTGAGCCCCCAGCCCAGAGGAGTGAGGGAGAGCCAAGGTCACACCCTTACTGCTGACAGAAACCACAGCAAAGCTGTGCAGCACCTGCTGCCCTCCCACATCTCCAGTTTCCAGCCAGAGTCCTTGGGCAAGTCCCTTTGACTTTGAGAGGGGGCCAGGAGGATTTGAGAGGGCATGGCCTGGCTGTGTGCCCAGGGAAGAGCTCATCTCTCCTGTTTCCATGAGTGAACTTGCAGGGAAAGCTGAGGAAGGGACTGATGTGGAGTTCTTTGCTTCTGTTTCACGGAAGGCTCATCCCAGCTGCCCCCCTGGCACGTGCAATAAGGACAGGAGGAGCCAGGACCCCTGTCCATGCCAGGGGCTCCTGTGCTGTCTCTGCATTCCCCAGAGCTGCCTGCTCTGGCAGAAGCTGCTGACCCCAGGCACACCTGCAGGCAAGGTGAGATGGTTGTGTTGGCAGCAGGGGCTGCTCACGCTCTGCTCTGCTGGGAAGAAATCTCCAGCTGCTCCTCGCAGGGCAGTTCCTCCCTGGGCAGTCAGAGCAAGCAGAGAACTTCAGCCTTTCCACTGGGACCCCCATCCACAGCCTCAATATGTTTTCAAAATCATTTCTGACCTGTTAGAGGACAGGGAGCCTGTGTTCCCTGCACTGTCCCTGCCTGCTCTCAGCCCCAGGGACCTTCCTGGAGATGACTGAACCCTCAGAGAGTCTGAAATTGCTGGGGAGCAGCTGGTGCTGGGCAGCAATGGACCAAACCCTTTCCCAAAGCCCTGCAATGCTAAATTCAGGCAGACTTGGTGAGTCAGGGAGTGAGGGCAGGGCCACCCCTCATGCTGGCAGGGAGGGCTGAGGGGGAATTTGGGCTCTGTTGGGTTCATCTGGGCACCCACAGAGGAGCATGGAGAGACAGTGGCAGCTGGGAGATCCCATATAATGCCCTGGCCTGGCACAGGGATGGATGGAAGCCCAAATTATGGACTCAGAGGAAGGGACAACCTTCTCTGGGCTCCTGGGAGTGCTCTTCTGGGGAGCTGCAGATCCAGTGTCCAGCACTGACATGACTCTGGATGGATCAACACCAGAGCACCTTTTGACTGAGGGCTGCTGTGTCTGCTGCCACTAAAGCACCTGCACCCTGCTCTGCCAGAGGGGGACAGAGTGAGGCTGGTGCAGGCTGTGCTCGTGTGAGGTCTCTGTGTCAGTCTGTGCCTGGCTGTGGATGTCAGGGAGGTGTTGCATACACACACTTGAGCCTCTGTGCCTGCTGGGAATACATTCCCAGCCTCACTCCTAGTTGGACCTTGCCTCTGTTGACCCCCACATCTGGCCATATTCCCTACCAGACTCCCTGTCCATCTCTCCAGACAAAGGCTGTATTCATAAACACTGTCCAAGCCCCTTTGCAGCAGGACCAGGACTTCAGGCTCTGCCCTGTTTCCCCTCCCCACCTGTGCCCACTCATGATTTCTGCAGAGATCTGTGGTGGTTCCCTCTGCAAGAGCAGGTGTCCCATGCTGAGGAAGCCCTGGCTCAAGGCAGCAGCTTGGAAGAGGATATGGGCTGGGAGGTGGCTGTGCACACCCTCCCTGGGGCCACAGGGATGTAACTTTAGCATCTGATCATGCTTTTCCCTCCAGGGCTAGACAAGAACGTTTTGTCCATTGGCCACCTGTTCTCATAGCTGGGTTACCCAAATAGCAGCTCATGTTCTGGGAACAGAAACTCTTGGAGTTGTTCTACATGAGAGGCTCTGTGTCTGCTCAGGGCACAAGGCAGCTGCTGCTCCAAGAGCCAGGACAGCCATTGCATCCCCTTCTTGGATTAATCTAATGGTGGTTCCTCTTGGGATGGAACTGGCTGGTAATGAGAGACACCAGCCTCTGGTCCTGCTCCTGTGAGAACTGAGGCACCATCCAGGTGTGCAGGGCCCTCTCTGCAGGTGAAGGTGGATGCACAAACAGCTGCTGTGTAGCTGCTTCTCCATGCAAACCAAAAAGCTGAGGGGCCACTGCTGCCTGTATGTTTCTCAGCAGCATCCCTGTCTGTGGTGTTGGGAGTGCTCAGCCCCTCAGGACTCCTCTCCCCACAGCCAAAATTCTCACCTGTCCTTGCAAGATTCAAGTTAAATGCTGTAGGATGGTTCTGCTCATCTTGTCCTCCCTGTGCCCTCCTTGAAGGGATGGAGGGCCATTAACAGCTCAGTGGGGGATGTCCCAATGCATGATTTAGTTGGTTGCAGAAAATGGTTCTTTAATCAGATCCTCCTTTGCCCAGGAGGGCTACCTGGTGTTCACATGCTGCTAGCCCGGGTGTTGGGCTCCCCTTGGGTGAGATTTGTCCAGGGTGTGTGGGAACCCAGGACATCCCTCTGGCAGTCCAGGACAGCCAGGACCCTGCCAGGGGGCTCAGAAACCCTGGCACGGAGCCCAAAACACCTGTGGGTTTGATTATGACCCGTGGAGCAAATTACCAACCTTGTATGAAGATCAGCAAGCCACAACAGTTTAAGAATAATAGTGAAGTTATCATGGAGTGGAAAAGTAGATTTTGGGGTTTCTGGTATGGAGGTTCAGGAGGCAAGATGGAGGGAACTGGGCATGTCCAGCCTTTCTTCTCCTCCTTCTTCTTGGCCTCCATCTTCTGCTGTGATGTTGGCACTTACAGATTGGTTTAGAGTAGAAGCTCACTGTCTAACATAGATGATAGGTATTGGAAAGTAATTGTAAACATTGTACACGTAGTTTTTAGTATAAAGACATAACCCTGCCCTGGGGGCAGGCAGAGTGCCTGGAACTGCCCTGCTGGATGGACCTCGGCAGGGCAGGAGAAAATTTTTTATAGATAAGATACAATAAACCTTGAGACCGAGAAATGAAGAGCCCTGACTCCTTCTTCAAGCGCTGGGCTGGGGAAAGAGACTTTCCAGCTTTTCTCGGGGTCACTCTGACAAGCTGGAGATCCCGACAAGGGTGGGCTCTGCAGGGGCCGTTTTGGTGCAGAGCCCCCAGCAGGGCACCTCACCCCCTCTCTGGTGAGCGCCTGCAGCCCAGCCCTGTCAGAGCCGCCTGGGGGCTCCTCGGCCATTCCCAGCTCCCCGGGGACTCCGCTCTGTTCCAGCCGGGGGTGTCTGATCCAGCTCTGGGGGAGCCTGGCACGAGTTCCACTGCTGCTGCTGCAGAGGCTGAGGTGCCAACAAGGGATCAAAGGGAAGGGAAATCCGTGTTCCCAGAGGCTCCCTGGTCCTTCTGGCTCCGCAGAGCCATCTCCTGGGGATCCTCCTCTCTGCACCCTGCTCCGTCCCTCTGCTGCCAAAAGCCACTTGCAGCTCTCGAGTATTTTTGGAAAGGACCAGGGAAAATAAATTCTGGCAATTCCTTGCCTTACAGTGAAAAATACTGTTCAGTCTCAGGTGGGAGAGGATAATGGGCTGATGAATATCCAAGAGTCTCTCTGTGGGGAAATCAGCAGGTTGCTGGAGAGATGTGAGAGAGCAGCACTACAATGGGAACATACTAAGCTTACATTCTTCACTTATTTTCATTTTTCTTAGAAGTACATTCCCTATTTTAACTTCCTGCCACTTTTTTTCTCAGAATACAAAGGTACCTTTCCAGGCAGGTTTAGAACAGCAATTGTAGCTGTCAGCAAACAGCTTCACAGAAGAAAATCATTAACTATAATAGCAGGAAAATGGATCAGAAATCATCATTCAGCCATTTCAGAATGTAGGGATGGTTAGAACTTTTCCAAGCAAGATGTCTGGCAGAGGAGGTTGGGCTGAGTTGTCCCTGTGGTGACACCATGCAGGAGTGCCTGGGAAGCTCAGTGCACAGCTGGGGTGGCCCTGGGTTTCTGATCCTTCTCAGAGTCTGGCTGTTAACATAAGGAGTGGGACTGGTGAGATCCAAACGCCCCTTTCTGAAGGAATGCCTGAGTGGCTTCACTGGGACTTGTGGAAACTGCTTGCTTGGGAATATCCACAGCTGCTCCTGAGCAGGCAGAGGGATGCTGAATGGCAGCAGGAAGGAAACTGCATCATGAGCTGTCTGTAGCTCAAGCCAGCAAAACCTGTGGGTTTGGTCAGACAGAAAGTGATATTAAAACACTTCACTCCTCTTCAGATGTCCTGCATGCCAGAGTACAGAATCTGTATCAGTCCAGTGGTGCTCACTGTTTCTGAGCCAGGCAGAGCACTTGGTGTTCATTGTTCTGGACACTGTTCACTGCCTGGCTCAGGTACAGGTGATGGTTGAAGAGCCTTCTGCAGCCAGCCTGGTGCTCACTGCTCATGTCCTTTTTTTGTTTTGTTTCCTGTGAGAGTGAAGCAAAGTGAGGTGTACCTCAGCTTTTCTACCCATGCTAGTTGGATTTGTATCTGACTTTGGGACCAGTGTGTGGGGCACTATGAACATGACTAATCCTGATGTTGACTTTCCCCCAGGTCATCATTGAACGCTACAAAGGGGAGAAACAGCTGCCAGTGCTGGATAAGACCAAGTTCCTTGTCCCAGACCATGTCAACATGAGTGAATTGGTCAAAATAATCCGGTGAGTGGGGTGGTCTCAGCTGGCATGTTGAGAGCCTGTCCTCCCCCACAGGCCACTCACTGCAGGGTGCTGGGGTGAGGGTGAGGCAGGGGCAGCTGCTGAGGGCAGGGGTGGGGATGTGGCAGCCGCAGCATCCTTGGGTGTGGTACAGGCTGTTGTGGGGGGCAGGGGAGGGCAGGTTCTGAGCACCTTGTCAAGGGCTGGGGTCTCTCCCTCAAGGGGACACTCATGAGCAGTGAAGAGGTCCCATCCCCTCTTTTTATTCTTCAGCTCAGAGGGAAGAGGCCCCTCTGCTTTGCCCTTGCTAGCAGCACTTGGAGTAAAAGGGCTTTGCAGAATCCTGGCTCAGGAGGCCTTGGAGCCTCCGGCAGCTCAGCTGGAGTCATGGATGCCACGTCCTGAGTGGTGGGAGCAGGTCCTGAGGAGGCCCTGGCTGTGCAGGCCTGGCCCCAAGGGAACAGCATTGCTGGGGAGGAGGAGCTGGCACTGAGGGCACCACCCTGACCCTGCCCCTCCTGCCCTTGCCCCCACAGGCGCCGCTTGCAGCTGAACCCCACCCAGGCCTTCTTCCTGCTGGTGAACCAGCACAGCATGGTCAGCGTGTCCACCCCCATCTCGGAGATCTACGAGCAGGAGAAGGACGAGGATGGCTTCCTCTACATGGTCTATGCTTCCCAGGAGACCTTTGGCTTCTGAGGGCTGCTGACAGTTGGCATGTGGAGACAGATGAACTGTGGCACAGAGGCCCCTGGCCTCGGAGGACAACACAGCCAGAGGCTCACAGGGGGGGCTGTGCTGACCCCCCTCCTCTCCCTCCCTCCCTCCCTCCCTGTCACCAAAGAGGCTCGTGGCGCGTGTTGGACTCGCACAACCCCTTCCCCTGTGTAGGTCAGTCCCGCTCCCCCAGGCGCCCGCCCAGGTGTGTGACACCCCCAGCCAGCCCTGCAGACCCCGCTGGGGCCTCTCCCTTTGTCCCCGTGTCCCCGCGCTGCTCTTGCTGTGCTGTGTGTGCTCTGCTGCTGCCAGACCTGCTGGGCCACTGTCACCCAGCACAGGGAGAGCCACCTCTCCCCAGGCACTCACAAAGGGCAGGAGGTCTGCAGAAGCAGCTAACAGATGTTACCATTGCTCCCGAGTTTTAATTGATTTTAATTACACCCATATCAGATTCTTGGTGCTACTGAATAGATGTAGGCGTCTCTATAGGACTGTGGATAATGTATATCCTTTAGATTTATTTTATTGGTTTGTTTGTTTGGGTTTGTTTGTTTGTTTTGGTTTTTTTTTTAGGGATAGATTGGAATGGGGAGAGGGGGAAACTTTCCTGTATTCTGTAGGTAAATAAATCAGGCTTCATTGCACTTTAAAGCATAGTAGATGTCAGAGTGGAATTTTCTTTTAATTTATACAGGTTTGCCATTTATAGTGCTGCTCCTCTGTTGACAGTTGTAGCTAGATGATCTTGTTTCAAACTTTTTTTTTCCTAATAAAATTGATTTCCCTTCTCTCTGTCTCCCCATTGCATGCAATTTTTCACTCTCACTGTGTCAAGGAGTTCACTGAAGGAATGTACTGATTTATATTTGCTATGTTCCTGTCCCTGTTTCTCATGTATAATACCAAAAAAAATGTATATGATAAAATCCCCCCTAGTTTAATCTATACAAAGGTATATATATATATAAATATATATATAAAATAAACATAAATTCAATTTGTGTCTTGTAGGAATGTTCTGTTCCCATCTCATTTGTCTGTGTTAATGTCTCTGGTATATCAAATGTGATGTGTGTTCCCCATGTTCACTGGTGTGTGTGTGTACGTGGCCAGGCTTCTGAGCTGGTTAAAAGAGCAGCTGGTTGGGACTGAGGGGCTGGGACAAAGGGGGAAGATTGGTTTAGAGAACAGAGCACTGGACAGAGACAGGAAACTTGGTTGTCCTGGCCCTGCCTGTGTAGAGTCTCTTGTCCTTTGATTAAACTTCCTCATCTGGGAACAAAAACTTGAGTTGGAGGCATTTGTAAAGTTTGTTTTTAAGGGAAGCTTTGATCAGTGCAGGAAATCGTGGCTTATTTTGAGTCCTCCATCAGACTTTTCTCCAGGCAAAGGCAGGGGCTGATGGACCTTGGGCTGGTAAGTGTCTCCCTGCTCCTCAGCTCACTCTTCTTCCTTTGCACTGCCCAGCAGAAAAGGGTTTGGGCACTGAAAAGATTTAGGGCTTGCCCAAGTTGCAGTTCACTGTGCTGTTCCTGTCCTACCCCTGCAGGGAATCCTCTATCCAGGAAAGGAGCTGGTGTGAGGGACAGGTCCAACAGAGCACTGCAGGAAGATGCTGGAAGCCAGGTGGAGCACAGCTCCCAGCAGAGTAGGTGAGAACAGCTGCCCTGCTGGTCCTGGCAGCTGGAGCAGCTCTGGATGTTGCCCCTTGCACCAGCCTCATGATATTTAAACTCCAGTCCCTGCGAGGGTCCTCTCCCATGCACCTCCCTCATCCCATGCAGGATGGGTGCTGCAGCTGATGGGGCTGTACCTGGTCAGCCCCTGGGAGGTGCTAAAGGAGATGCAGATGTGCTCCAACAGCCCCACATCTGTCCTGGGCTGGGCCCCAGGGCTGGAGGCAGCTCTGCAGGTGGGGTCTCCCCTCAGTGGGGCAGAGGGGCACAACCCCCCCACTCCTGCTGCCCACACTGGGGGATCAGCCCAGGACACAGAGGGGACTCTGGGTGCCAGCACACATGGCCAGGACGTGTCCACCTTCTCACCCACCAGCATCCCCACGTCCTTCACTCGGCTGCACCGGGCTGCTTCCCATGTGATGTTGTCTTTGAGGTTTGACCACTTCCAGGATCTCTCCTCTTACTCTTTTCCAGACAGTTCTTTGCTGTTCTCTGTTCTTCCACTCTGTCCTTAGCTCCCAGTGAGTTGGAAATTAGGGTGAGTATCTTCTCCCCAGGGGCACCCAGCAGCGCTGCTCATCCCTACACAGCTGTGTTTATGCATTCAGCTGGATCTGCACAGCCTGGCTTCTCATTCCTGCAGCTTCTCAAAAGGTCTCTGAAGGGGGATGCTGCTGTCTTGTCCCCTCCTCTCCATGTGGGAGATGAAACTGGGCCCTTTCCTTGTCCCCCCACCCCGCTCTGCTGTCCTTTCATATGCAACCCTCAGGAAGTGCTGAGTGTTTTGACACAACCACCTGCCTGGGCTTTCTGTGGGCAATGCCTCTGGGCATTGCTTGACTAGTGGATGATAATGTGCCAACCTGGCTCCAAGGACTGACCAGAGCTGATGGACGCAGCCAGCCTGACCCAGAGCTGAGCCATGCAGCTGTTGTGGCACAGCTGTATGACTGATGCCACACAATGGAACCACCAGGGCAGGAGGAAGCCAAGGTTCCTCTGGGAATGGTGGAACACAGGAGAGCCTGGGACAAGGGTAGGTAGGGCAGAGCACTAGCAAGGAAAGATACAAATGCAATGCTGATCATTTTCCTCATGACAGAGGACAGGATAAAGACCTGAGGATGAGTGTGACAGTTTCAGAGGGCACTTTCAGTCTCCCATCTGTCTCAGCACAGAGCTGCACATCCTGATGCTGGTCTGTTCATCTTGAGGCCACCCCACCGTGAAGCTGTGTGGGAGCCTGGGGTGAAGCTGCACTGCACTGGGGCTGTGCCTCACAGCATCACTCAGTTACCTCAGCCAAGCCTCTGCATGTGTCCTGGTTTAGGGTAAATTTGGGAGGAAACTTCCAAAGAGGTCCCTCTAGAAAGCAGATTCAAGCGGCCCCTACTGGTTCAGGAACAGATTTCCTTGGAGAAACTGGAAAAAAACTGTTTCTATAACAAGCAAAGTATTCACAAGCATAAGAAATGAATAATATTAATAAAACCTCTCACTGTTCTGAAGAGATGGCAAATTCAGAAAGTCCTTTTCACGGGGTGTAGCTTGGCTTGCTCAGTCTCCTATCAGTCCCTCCTGCACTGGAAAATGCCACGTCCTGGGTCCTGGTGGGCCATAGGTGTGAGCTCCAGGTGTTTTTCTGGGTTTTCAGTCCAGAGCAGGGACAATCAGTTCCAAGAAAAAGAAAAGCCACAGTCTGGGGAACTTCTCTGCCTCAGCTAAGAAAAAATAACTAAAATAAACAAACTAAATAACTAAAACAGCTAAGAAAATCAAGTAAAAAGCAAAGGAGAGCTCCTGTTGTCTGTGCTGCACACAACACAGTTTGTGAGAAGAAAAGCTGAAGCTCTTATCTATATGTTTTTGAATACAACAGCCTCAGACATTCCACCACTTCTTCTTCCCCCTTCATTCTCAGATCTAGTCTTAAAGGTGCAAAACTTATTTCTGGGCTAAACGGGGATACAATTCAGCATCATAAATTCACCCTAGGACATTATATTACATGTTGCTGTAGGGGGCATCAGCCCTTTTTTGTTCCTCAGTTTTTGTTCCTCAACCTTTTATATCCTTCTTCCTTCATGCATTGCACCTGTGTGCTCTCTCTACCCTTTTGTGGTTGGTCAGTACACCTCAGCACTCCATGTCTCATTACCTTCAATACTGGCCGCCTGTCCTGCACAGCTGGAGCCCATTAGGGATGAGGCTTGGCCATGGCCCCATTCCCAACTACCACAAACTTTGTGCCTACAGTTACACTGCACCCACCAGCAACCAGAGCCATGACACTGTAACATGTCACCTGGTGACTGCTAACACAGGCTGTGACTGATGCTGGCCTGTGTGGTCCCCTCTTGACAACCACCCACACAATGCTGCTGCCAGGGCCACCTGAGCCCCCTGGTCTCCAGGATGGGTAAGCCAAGCTCCCACAGGCTCCACGAATGGATGGTAATGAAGAGTTAACCAACAGACTTTGGGAGGTGCTAGGGTTACCTGATGCAACACCAAATGTATAAAATGTAGAGCAGCCATTTTGTTAATGAGCCATGTGGTAGGCGGCCATGGGGCAGGGCTCCCAGGCCTGTTTTTCCTTATTTAGTCCTTTTGTTGTATTTCTTGTTAAGGTTTAATAAACCCTTTAAAATGTTTAAAGTAAGCAGTCATTTTTCACAATGGCAGTTATCTTGGATCAACACCTCGTCTCTATGGCTGTAGGGGATCTCAAAGGAGAAGTGCACCCTGCTACAAGTTCAGCAGCTCCATCGAGTTCTGTGACCATCGGTGATTGTCGGTCAGCACCCAGGACAACAGAGGACTAAACAACAAAAAAGTAAATGGGGGAGAAAAAAAAACCCTGAAAACTTCAGATCTAGAAGATTGTGAGTCCTGGTGTGTGTATGCTTGAAGCATGAGTGATGTAATTCCGGGAGTGTGCTTGAGGAAGATACGGAACTTAGAAGATCCTCTTAATTATGCTGGCCAAATTGTTTGTAATCTGGATGTACAAATGCCAGCTCCAGGCACATCATACATGGGACCCGTTCCGGGAGTGCATTGGAGCTTAAGGACAAGTGGACAGTTAGACATTTAAGGTGGGATGTGTAGAAGATGAAAGCAGGGATCCTGTAGAAGGAGGACCCTGTGGTCGGCAGGATGCATGTGATAGAAAGATGTTAGAGTTATGGAGACCCAAGAGCATCTGGAAACATCAGACTGAGGGTCACTGGATTTAGAGGGTGTTAGAGTGATGCTGAAAACCACTGTTCAGTAGAGATGGTGCTTGTCACGGCAGCTTTCCCAACCACGGGCAGCGGGGGGCAGGGGAGGCTGCGTGGCTGATCCACACAGAGCAGCGGCGCGCTCAGCACGGTGAGCTCCTGGTGCGCGGTCAGCGCAATAGCTTCCAGAGCTTTCCAGCTGAGGCGTGGGAGGGAGTGTGACCACTAAGGGCAGTGACTGAAAAGCATCGTGCGCCTAGCCACGGTGACTTGGTGGTGCCAAGGGGTGCAGTCCAGCAGGTTCACCTGGGGGTGGAGTGCCCAGGAGCGGGGGAGAAGCTGGACGGGGTCTCCCTGACCCCCGGCACAAAGGAAGCCGAGGGGAAAAGCGAGTCTACACCGGCTGCTTGTGCCAGGGCACAGCAGGGGCAGCAGAGTGCGGGGCTGTGCCAGCTTCCTGCGGCATTTGCCAGAGCGGAGCCACCACCACAGCGAGCAGGGACTGGAGCAGGCGCTGCTGTGGAGGGGGGAGCAGAGGCGGCGCTGCCGCAGAGCACCAGGCGGGGGTGGCAGCAGCGCAGGACGTAGTTCACGCACGGTGCTTCTGAGGAACAGGGCTGACCTGGGGGCACCCAAACTGCAGCAGCTTCCCTGTAATATCCACCAGCATAAAAAGCCACGGGGCCATGTGGCCAGCTTTTCAGCAGTCGCCCCATGCTAACAAGCCAAAAGGCATTAGGAAGGGAGAGCGGGTGGCAGCTTAGAGGCACGGGAACATGGCTGCGGGTCGCCCAACAGGCGATCGACACCTCTTAGTGGGGACCCCAGTACTGGGGGCTTGTCTGTACAGGGCTGCCTGCAGCGATTCAGGAGTTCCAGTGGCAG